TGACAAAAGTCAGAGTACTCCATTGAAAGCAGTGGATTTTCTGCTGATTTGCACCAGCATCGGTAAGACTATGATCGTAGTGAATCTCGGAGAGGAGAAGCCCGTGTGACCTGTCGTGTTCACCCTGTGATGGGCTGTAAAGCAGGATAACTCTCAGTGGGGTGCAGAAACTCAGTCCCTCCACATTCAACTCTACTGCTCTTATGCCAAAGTGTGGCAAGGCCAGTGAATACCACCTACAGGAATGAAGGCTTTCATTAGGTAAGCAGACACCCCCAACGCTTTACTTCTGCCCGGTTCAGACTGCGCTGTTATCTGAGGTGAATGAGGGAAAATTCATGCTAGGAAGCTTTCCCATTTCATTTTGAGGAAGGTGATCTATATCTGGTATCTTTTAACATTATTACCAATATATTACCAACATAATACCAATACCTGGTATCTTTTAACAGAACTGAAAATGTGGCCTCTGTTAAAAAATTGTGCATATTTGTGCAAAAATGCAAATACACTATTATTTTTAAGCAGGGGAGAGACATCACAACTACTTAAGTATTCCTAGGGAAATCCAGGAATGACCAGCTCACATTTTCCCTTCTGGTGATTATCAGATCCTCTTAAGTATATAACCTGAGCAACATAACAAGACATTTATGCTTGTTTTGAAAATTTGCACCATGAGTTTACTGAGAATTTTGTTTCACTGGCTCACTCTAAGCTAATACCTTTGATAACTTCTGCTCTCAGGACAGATACTTGTTTGCTCTGACTGCAGTCATTGGACTAAGGCTGTGTGCTGCTACCAGCACTTTTTTTGAGCAGTTACTCGTGTAGTTGCATTTTCCATGCGCTGATGGTTTCTAAGAAACAAATCATTTTCTTCTCATACAAAAAATATACCTAACTAAGATATTTATCCCCTGACAAAAGGCTATCCATTCCACAAAAGGTACAAATTTTTTTTTTTTTTTACCAGAAAATCTATAAATGGAAAATGAAAAAAAAAAAAAAAAGCAATCTATATCCGGAACCCAGAGGGATTTCCTGATGTGGATGAATGGATGTTTTGGTTTTTCATTATATTTTCAAATTATCCCCTCACTGCCATTTGTTAACTGGCACTTGTGCTAAGAACAATAATGTAGCACCTTATCTCTTCCAAAAAAAGAGAGAGCCAAATGTCTGAGCACTGCTGTAGGTTCGCATTTTGTGTTGAATTTTTCAATTTCATAAAATACAATTGTCATTTAAAAATAATAAAAAAATCACTTACTTCGCTAAAGATCAAACATAATGGAAATAATGTAAACATCCAAAAGCTTGAATTCATTCCTAACTGGATTCATCTTTACAGGCAGGCAATAGCAAAATGTTAAGTCTCATAGTAGTCCAAAGAAACTCATGGAACAATGCATGCATTTTCATTGACACAAAAAAAGACTGGACTGTAAGGAAGAGAAACTACTTCAGTCATATCACACTGTTATTGTGAAAGAATAATGTGCTATAATCCAATACCTAGGACAAGTGTATACCCCAACTGTAGAATAGCATCACTTAAACTGGAAACAACAGGATGGATTACTATAGGAAAATATTTATAAAATACTGTACACCGCATCCTCAGTCGGCCAGCATATGTAAACAAACAGCTAAGTTCAGTTGAGTTTCAAAATATTATTAAAGTTCATTTATCTTATAATCTTTTGCATAACATGCCAGTTCATCTTTCACACTATCACAACTCACCTGTCACAGCCCACAGTGGCTCATTAGAGGTTTATACATCAGCTCATACAGACATTTAAGTGGAGCTATACAGAGAAATGTGTGAAACATACCAAACTTACACACTGTGACCAGAAATGCATATTCCATATGTAAGCTAATAATTGGGTAGTGGAACTTAATGCTTGATGCAACATGTGCTATTTTATTGAATGTTACAGATTCACAAACAAGACCTTATGATGTGATATTAAAACTGTCCTGTAACATTCACTAATATTACCACATGTCACAACTATACTGGTTTATATATGGGAGATATGTATATATGTGTGTATATATATCTATTTCATAAGCTATCCTTTGATACAGAATATGTCATATGGCACATGCTATAGCTACATGATGATGGATGATAAGACTTCTACTCTCACTAAATGGTCATAATAGTATCATGAGTGGGAAATATGGTCCCATTGCAAGGAATGGGTGTTTTACCATCAAATTCAAAAAGGAGCAGTGTGATGCAATGCTTAAAAAACAGGTGAAGAGAAAATAATCTAACATCCATCATAATATATTCTATAGACACCACATTGTAGAATAAATGGGAAACATTCAGGAAAAGTAGTGTTCTGATGTCTTGCAATCACACTTTTAACACCCGAATTTACATTTTTTATATAATGGCAAATTTTAAGAGGTAAATAAAGTGTCCTGTTTCATTTTACCTGGAATGTGTGCTCCAGATCGATAAAGTGCTGTATCCTAAACATTTATACAGCTTCTGGGTTTGGCAAATTCCTTTACCCTGACAAACTAAGCAATGAAATCTACCCCAGAGGACAGCCCTATGCCTTGAACTAATTCACTAAGCGCTGTTGAGGAATTCCTAATGAATCTGAAGTTCCTCTAGAGTAGGCCAGTAATACGGTGAAGGTGGAAGAATCCACGAACAGTTTTAGCAGACATTCGTAAAAGTAACAAAGAAAACAAAGTGAGAATATCCCCCTCTACTCACCAAGGATAGATAGATTTGGAGAAGCCTTAGGAAAAGGCTGCTAACAAAAGTTGGCACATTTGAAGCAGATTGTTAAACACAAGTTCCTTTGCCCCTGGGCGTTTTGCTATTGTTCAACAATGAGCCTGTCACAAGCATGCTTCATAATGCACAGAAAGGCTTCTGACCTTTCTCGGTGTTGCCATGTGACTGTAACGCTGCACATGGACTGCAAGGCAATTGCATAAACACGGTGTCTTGGTGGAGTTTAGCTCATTGAAAGCCTGATCAAATAGAAGAAAGCAAGGAACACGTTGGTGCAGGAAGTATGAAACACATTGTGCTTAAAGTCCCTCTTTGTTTCCTGAACTTTTCCAACGTAGTGACTCGGTACCTAAATGTTTTCACCTTCTTTGCCTCTTTTCTTGAGGCTGATGATTATTTTTATGTCTGGATTTGTTGCCTTTCAGACTTAGCTCTCATACGGTGCTCAGAGTCTCCCAGGGTGAGATCCCAGTGAGAAAATGTCAGTCTGCATTTTCAAAGCTGCCTTAGAGATTTGGAAGATAATACCCATTTAAATAATGGGAAGTGTGTACCCTACTCACATGTGTTCGTTTTTAATAACAAAAAGGAGCTGGTTCTACACAGATGTTGGTCATTGTAGAGGTTTTAATTTTTAATAGCACTAGCTTTAACTCTTTACAAGCTTAAAAGTTGTGCCTTCATAAAGGATGTGAAATTTTGATCCAGTTGGAGTTTATACTTCTCCACCCTTTTCCTTTCTTCTGCATACCCTTCCACCTGTGACCTCTGTGATATCTTCTCATGAGATGTTTGAAACTCTGGTTGACGTCGTGGGCCATTGGAACATGGGTGGGGTCAGTGGAGTTATGACTGTCTTTAACTAAAACCTATAAATGCACTACCATTCAGGTATACTTTCTTCTACAAAAATGCATGCTGCGTGATATGCTGCTGAACGGTGGGGGCCTAGGTGCAACTGATGGCTTTTGCTGTTTACCAACACCTGCATTTTCACTTTGGTTCTTTAACTTACCTTAAAAGCTTATATACTCTTTAGTGTTTTCCAGTCCTCTGCCAAGAATATTTTCCCCTAAGCAACTTCAGTCTAATTGCATTAATCTTGATTCAGACTGCTTGATAAATCCTGTATACTTTGAAATGCTCAAATACGGCCATGTCCTCATGAAAAAGGAAAAAAAAAAAGGTGTATACTTTTAGGTGAGAGAATGATGTGAAAAATTGGCAGCTCAAATGGAACAGCAAGAAGAGCCTGGTAGCAGCCTGGTGGATAAATCTCCCCAATTTGTATACGTAATTAAATGGAGCAGTGAGAACCTGACAATATTACTCTGGTCTGCTCTGATCACCCTGTTCTTACTGTTCCATCACATCCTTTGATTTAGTGAGACAACATATTGATGACAAATGTGGTAAAAAAATAAATATATACTATTCCGCTTAATTACATTCATCCTGAGCTTGCTCAGCTGTGCTAGAATCTAGAATGCCTGTTATACAGGAAATCACCTGATATTTTAACATAAATTTTTCCTCCATTTAAGTTGCAGTACAAAAGGCATTTCATTTCCCTTTCTGCTCTTGAAAATATAAACTTTTTGTGGCACTAGAAGTTGATAGAAAAAGAGACAAGTGAAAGTTATGGTTGTTATCTTGCTCGTCTTTCTTCATTTCCACAAGTGTGGGATACAAGGGATTTGGGAGACTTTAGGTTTGTTTGCTGCCAGTTCCTACAGAAATAACAAACGCTTTTCATCAGTCATCACAACAGTGAAACAGATGAAAAGAAGTTGTGATTGAAGTTTAGAACATCTAATTTGTACATCTCTTTTTCCCAGTTAATTCCTGCATCCTAAATACTTGAATAATGATCAAAGATCTTAGGATGCCTTCTAATAAAAGGCAGATTTCCGAACCTATTCATTTATTTCTCGTGACTTCACAAAGGGTGCTTGTTATTCCTATTGTTTACTGAAGTCTGTGTAAAGCTTTCATCCCTCCCTTTTTCCTTAAGTGCAAATGTCAACTGGGTCAAGATGCAGTAACTCAGTGGGTGATGCTGAGACTGACAATGTGCTCCCTTGACCAGTGGCTAATGCCAACTGGAGTTGACACAGGGTGATGTGAGTTTTTTGTTTTTGTTTTTGTTTTTTTTTTTTTAATTCTGCTAGGAAAAATGGACTGGAGAGCAGATGACCCTTAGACTGCCAGTGAGGTTTGTCTAGGCCTAGCTGTGCTTGCTTTCAAAGCTGCGGAAAGCTCCCGTTCTTGACAGTCTCCTCATGGACAGGTTGTCCCCTCTGCTCTCTGGTCTCGAGGACTTACTCCTCTGGAAGGGGTTTCGCAGGCCTGTTGCATTCCGCTGCCTGTCAAGTTTGTCACTGATAGAGTAGCTCTTCCGTGTGTGCTGTGCATACAACATGTTGGACTCCTCCGCAGAGTAGCTGTTTGCCCGCTCTATTTTTGGAAGTGGGATGCTGTTGGCTAGAGTTCTTGTAGCATTGCTGTCTTGAGGAGATAAGGGCATCCCCTTCTTGTCTTTGGCCTCAATATCCTCATGATCAGAGCTCGGGTGACTTAGTTCAGCTTCTCTCTCTGGGTGGCAGCATCCCAAGTCCTCCACTTTACCCCCGAGACTTCCAGGGAAACTGGCCCTCTCTGCGATGGCCTGGGGAGCGCTCACACACCTTGTGTCTATGCAGTCCGTAATACTTGTGTACTCTGCTGTTTTGACTGGGACGCCAAGGCTGCTGAAGTAGCTTCGAGATGGAGAAAACATAAAACTGTGAGATTTCACAATTGGTGTCTCCTCCAGAATAAATGGACTTGTAGCCAGGTAACGACTGCTTTTAGATCGCTCTAAAGTGTGATACAAGGGAGGGTCTGAATCCCAAGGGATTTGGCAGTCTGTGATTTGGGAATAATCTGAAGAAAATGCTCTTGTTTCTATTCCAGAGGTCTCCTCATAGTCAAGACTCCTGCCAGAAATTTTTTCGCCGGGTGTGCTGCTAATATACGCGCTGTTAGCTAAAATGGAAGAGGCTATTTGAGCCTGCAGAGCTGCATCTCCAGTACCAAGAATATTTATGGAGCTGTCAAGAGGCTCTGTGTCAGAATGCATCTCATCCATGGCAGAAACATAGATGTCTATACAAGACGAAGGCCTTCTAGAGTCTGGGGCAATCGACAAGGTGCTGGTAGGGGCTAAGGGAACCTTTCCTTCTTTTGCTATCGAGTGGGAACTGATAGCCCGATGCAGGCTTGGAGATCTTTCCTTAAAAATGCTTTCAAACTTTTCCAGCCCACACTTGTCCTTCATATTTGTTGCATAGAAAGAGTGGCTACGCATGCGGGGCGTGATTGTAGGAGAGGTTGGGGACATAGACTCCTCTCCTGTGGGATCTATGATCTCTTGAAGCTTGTAAGTATTTCCTTCCTGACTATTGAAGCTACTCTGCCTCACAATGTAGGCTGCATCAGTACAGTCGGATGAGGTCCTGGATCGTATCTTGGTTGTCTCACCTCTCTCTATGCCGGTCAGTTTTTCTAAGGCGGTCACCATTCGTCCCATCATATCTTCCAGCTGAGCAAGCCTGATGTCAACGGTCTGCAGAGAGGCCTTCATGCAGTGCTCCCGCTCATTTACTTCTTCCAGTCTCATGGCCATGTTCTCTACCCTTAAAAAAGAGAAGAATTAAACAGATTCATTTCTACAAAGCAGTGATGTTCAGCTAATAGGTCGCCAAAACAAATGGGAATGAATAGGTCTTAAAATTCAAAGCCAACCTACACCACCTTGTTTGTGTCAAAACCCTGCTAAAAGTTTCAGCAAACAAATACCACTCTCTCAGGAAACTGCTCCAGTGGGTTAAACCAGGGGTGTCCCCTGAATAACATAGAGCGGGGTTTGGGACAGGGGTTATTACAGAAATGTTACTATGATTTGCTGCCTCTCTGCTGCCAAAACTTCTAATTAGTTTGTTATGAATGAGTAACACTTGGAGCAGATGCCACATGATGTTGTCCCCAGTTGTGCCACAGGCAGGACCACTGCAGTCAACTGCAGAACTAAATGAGGTAATGAAAATGGGCAATATGCCACAGAAGGTGGATAACCCCATTTTTTTTCCTGGTGTTTGCCCCAGATTTACACCAGCTGGTGCTATGTGGACCTAAGGAGATAATTTCGTTGTTCTCTGACTAATTTTTAGCTCAGATATATATATATATATAAAGTATCAGCTATTGTATTGAATGTAGGTAATATCAAGTAAAGTGTGCATGAAGACCACAGCAAGGGGAACACCGATCAAACCAAATTCTGCCTACAATAGGGTACACACACTAAAATGGCTCCATTACTGTGATTGTGCTTTGGGTAGTCTGTGTTAATAGCTTAGGGACTGAAATGATGGATTTTAAAGTTATTTATTAGCTACCTGTCATAATATATAAATAAAAATTTAGATTAAAATATTAATATGTAATTATTGAAAGTGTGATCCTAATTTAAACTTCAGTATATCCGTTCTACGTTGTTGATCTGTCTCATGATAAAATGTTTTTGACTTTAAGGTGAATTGTGTACTAATTTATGCCAGTGGTTTTCAACCATTTCAATTTTCTGGCTTCTAAAACATCACTGCTGAAGGATTTATATGGAGTCCTCTAATTTTACACAACGAAATTGCCTTTAGCACATACGAAATTTCTTCGCGTAATTAATTTCTCTGGTTGTAGTGCCTAGGGTAGACCAGGAACCTCCATTATCTGCCAAAGAAGTATTAAAAACAACACATTGATATAGTTTTCTTTGACTTTTAAGGTTACAGTTCTGGTTTTCCCCATTCCTGTAGACACTGAAAAATGAACAGAGAAGTGACAAATACCAAATGGCAGGATTTCCACACTTTTCTCTTCACAAGTCTGTTACTCTCTGCCTGTTAGTGCAATTCATACTCAAATGTTAATAGGCACCCTGTCAATCATAGCTAGGATTTCTGATGAGATAGATACACTCTTCCACTACTGCTAGTTGAACTTCCAACAAGACGAGTGACCTGGAACTGGCAACGCCATAAACACTCTTACTTGCCCAGAAGGAAACCAGATTTTCGCAATGAGTGAATATTGGGCAGCATTAATGCCTTGTTAATTAATGCACAGAACTTTAGCTGGTGAAATGCTGAGGTCTGACTACCTCATGGTGATGAGCAGCAGCAACCCGCCCGCAGGAGAGAGGAGAGGGAGGAGTGTGACACCGCTCCCCACAGCAAGTCTCACATTCCTGTGAAACATGGGCTTTTTCTGTTGGAGATTGTGAGTCTTGAAAGCACAAGCACAGCAAATCAAGTGTGAAGCAGTAAGTACATTGCTGTCACCAGACTTCAATAGATGAATAATCAAGTAACCACTGCTAAGAAATGAACCAGTACTTTGAAAGAATCTCATTCTACTCTTACTATCATTTAGGCACCAGTCTACCTCTATTCTACCAACTTCAGCAAAACAAATTAATGTTCTTGCAAGCACAGGATAATTCTGTAGTGACAGAGCAGTTTATATGGGAAGCAGTTGAATTTTCCCTCATGGTATTACTTATCTGAACTGCTATTTTATAAAAAACAATTATACTTTTAAAATATTTATTGGATAACAATTGAGTTCCTCGCCACACATTCAGATTCTGTAACGACTGTTCCAAGATGATGAACAGATATAACATCAGGATTTTAGAGCTGTCAGACATACGGAACAATTCGAGAAACCTCCTGGATTTTACTTGAGAATGCTCAGATTATGACCAACAAAAAACATTTACCACAGCAACAGTTACCCAAGAACTGGAATGAACTTACAACATTCTGTGAAGATAACTGGATAGTCTTGTTTGGTTTGATTTTGTTTGTTTGTTTGTTTTTTGTTTGTTTGTTTTTTTGTTGTTGTTGTTTTTCTTTTGCTTGCTTTGAGAGGTGTACACAAGTGAAATAATTTTTAATACAAACATAGCCAGTTGAATTATTGCCCTTGGTTACATATTTGTATCTGGAATTTGAGTAGAACTGTCCATAGTGCCTGCATTCATGTGAGGGCTATGCAATGCTACTGAACACAACTAATGCATCCCAAGAAGAACCTGGAGTCATAGCTTGCTGGTGCATGTTCATATACTTGCCCTGCCTTCCCTGAACACGATCTGTTAGCTACTGCCAGAAGCATACAGTGTGAGACTGGTGGTACCGCTGGCCAAGACGAAGATAGCCTTTTGAGTTACAGGGTCTGTTGGTTGCTATGGAAGTAATCACAGATATGATTGCATGGGTAGTAGTGGGTAATTTATAGAGAAACTCAACAAGATAAGAATAATGCAGCCCAGGTTCAGAAACCAGGGGTAACCAGAGATGTGCATAGATAACCAAGAAGAACATACATGTATTTACACTGGATGGGCCCTGACTGTATAATTTTATTCACAAAAAAGAAAGCTTGTGTGGTGATGATCTCCAAACCTGAAGCTATTAGCTGAATTTAGTCACCTTTTGTTACACATATTGCATATGGCCACTCCCAGATTTTTTAACAATTATTTATTCTTTTAATTAGTGATACTCTCTTATGGTAATTTGATGTTCAATTTTGCAATCATTCATCGCACAGAACAGCACCAGGCTCCAGGAGTAATCCTACTAGAAACATGATAAAATCACATCAGCCAAACACTGTGGGCATAAGAGGATACGTTCTGGAGAAATACAGTCATAATCTGGTCCTTAAAATGTTTTAATAAGTGAAATTTTCTATTTTCCCATATTGTTGTATGATCTTGCACTTAGTGAATAGATAGCTAAAGCTTTATTTCCTTCAGGAACAGTTTTGAATTAAAAAACTATTTCAAAATAAGAATGCCCAAGTTTTGCTTTGGATTGTTTTTCTGTGTGGGCTGGAGATAGTATAAACCTTTTGGCAAATTTCACAATATCCATGTATGATGCCTCCATTGCACCTGTGCTTTTCCTTACAGCAAGACTTATCCACTGTATGAGAAGGTGCCAAGCCATCCTAACAGATGGGAATGAGAACAGAAAAAGAGGATGCTACATGTAAAATGTGCATCAAGTGTGTTCTGCTGAAGCTCAAAAATTTCTAAGAGTGAAACAAACATGGACTAAATGAGGGGAATATTTCAGTAACCAGGAAAAAATAAAAGGTCAGAACTGGGAACCGGGCAAAGATTTTATATTACCTGTGATAAGCCTTTTTAATTTTGGTTTGGGAGATGATGGCTTTTGCTGGCATTCATTTTGGTTATATTTATTTTTAACCTTTGCACATCTCTTAACTGAATGCTAGAATTAGATTCAGAAGTCTCTTTGTGGGCCTATGTCCATTTTTAAGGCATCATTTGTACTTCAAAATCCTTTTCAACTGCTGCAAAGACTGTAGACACTGAGTCACTTACAGGCGTATCCACCCTGCTTGTTATATGGAACTGTAGAATGGTTTTATTTAAGTAAAACATGGACAGCAGTTCCCAAGCCTGTAACAGGATGTTGGTACTTTGGCTGACATCTTTTGGTAAAGAATTGCTGATGTAACTGGCCAGCCAATTTTCTCAGGTGGGTGGCTTCCGCAGGCTGAAGGGGTTGGGTTGTCCTGCCTGTGTTCCCATCTGGAGCCCAAGACCACTTAACCTTCTGTGACCACAGAGAGATGTCGCTGTATTCACAGACCTTTCCTACTGCCACTCTGCATGTGTGGCTGGATCTGGCAGGCTCAGCAGAAGCCCTTTTAAAAGCCCAAACATATTTCTGTTCACTTCAGCCTGCCATCCCTGAAATCAAGATAAAAACTATGTCATCATTCACACAGACGCGCTTGGTGTAATTGCTCTGCAGACTACAAAGTGTTAAGGTGCTGTAGTAATGGACACCATATAGTACTAAAGTTGACATAGTAATATCTACTCCAACCAGCTTATCTGCTTTTTAAATACTGTTAAGATGTGATCCTGCTCCTTTTGGAATCAACAAGAGGTTTTGCATTGGGTTTGAAAGAGTCAAGACGTGTCCACATAGAAAAAATGCCTACTGAAGAGATTGTTTCAGCGACTTCACACCAGATCAAGAAAAATAGTGCAGTCTTTTTTGATCATATTACGCACGTCTCGGTGCTGGTCAAAATGTGCCACTGAATGTTTCACAGTGATTAGAAAGGAAAGTTGTGATTCTGCTGCTGCAGTGAAGTGAATTTGTCCAACTTTGCTTTCCTCACAGGTCTCCAGGAGATTCACCAAGACTTGCCTAGCCTGATAAATGCAATTAAAGGAAACACCTTACAGCTTCATACTGCTTTGTATTTTTCCACTTAGTCAATCACTTCCTCTGCTGTGTATCACTAACCTGCTGCTACTTCCATGTGCCTGTGTGAGATCCTAGCCAGTGTGCTACTCCTCCAAGTTACTTAGTACCTGGGGTCAGGGAGGAACAAGCATCAAGTGTCATTTCATGCTTTTAATTTCTAAATATGAAAGGATCAGGTAAAGGAGAGATTCTGTGTGGTGACACCAAATGTGGACACCTCTGTGGTGTTTTTTGTTACAAGAGAAGTAAGGCGATTGCTGAACCAAGACAGGCACCACAGGACGCCAAGGCCGACTATTCCAAGGTGAGAGCATAAACTGCAGCTTGTTGTAGGGAAGTCAGACAAGATGCTGTGGTCCTGACCCAGCACAGCCACTGACTGCTTAGCTGAAGTTGTTCATTTACACCCAGGTCAATGCAGCAAGAAACAGGGTCTCTTGTTCTTTTGCTTTCCTGAACTCTAACCTGCCCCTGTGACCCACCTAGGCTGAGCCTCAAAGCAATACTCTCTTCCCATCTCCCATTTTCCTTCCAGTGCTAACCCCCTACTCCCTCTTCCAGGCATACTGGGCTTTGCACCTGCGGTGTGCAGCTCTTCCTCCAAGCAGGACCCGGGTCACTCTGATAAATCCAGCTGCAAGTAGGAGCTGCTCAAGGAAGAGGTGAGCTATCACAAATGCGTGGAGGGGAAGGAAGGCAGTGAGTGGTCCAGGTGCCGGTACGCCACATAGGGCTTCTCCCAGCCCTTCCTTCTTGAGCCTAACAGCATCCCCAGCTTCCTGCAAATGGAAGGTCTTCAGGGGGAACTTCACTCACATTTGCAGGGCTTTGTGGTTCAATTTTACACCATGTAAAGATGAGTTAATTGGACAGATGTTTAAGCTCATAACTCATGCCTGTAATACAGGTATTGTGCTTGGTCTACTACTACAGGCTAATGACTGGACGTTGGGAGAGAAACTGTGTAGTCTTGCATCCTCTCAGTTTTCTTTGCTTTATATCTTGTTAATTGTACAAAGACGTCTCTATAGAAATTATAACGTGCAAATCTGGATTTTAAATATTTGAATGCTCCCCAGGTTTGAAAAAAGAAGTTTGGTGTTTTAGATTAAGAACACTTCAAGGGATACTTCCTTGGCCATAATTGCTGGCAAAATGACATACCTGGGCATCCAGGTTTTAAAGGGTGTGTTATTTAAGATACTTAGATAGCCCTGATTCCTCAAACATTTTTTAAGTATTCCTCAGATCTTTGAAGTATTTGCACTTGCCTTGTGTGGTAGAGTATTGCAGTAGGTTTGGCAAGGAGAGAAGAGAGCTATTATGAGATGAGAACTGCATTCACCTGGGATTTCATTGCTGCAAGTCCTAGTAGTGTATGTGGGTCCAGGAGTGGCCTCTGTACCCCACGGGGTTGCTACCTGGGTATCCCTTACAGAGCTGGGGCATGGTGGTTTCCATATTACACTGTTGGCTAAGGTAAATGGATTTTTAAAGAACTATTTCTCTGTGGGGCTCAGGTGATTGTCTTCATTTGGGATTTATAATCATGAAGTCTCTTCTGGAACAAGGTGCTTTAAGCCATTCATTTAAAATAGACATAAGGGCTCTTTTCCTATAAAACAGGGCCATCACAGAGTGCAAAGGCAGACTGTTAGATATTAATTTTCAAGGACATAGAGCACTTGCCTAATGTAGGGGAGGTCCCAGCTGGATTACTTTTTATTTACAAAGGCTTCAAACATACCTCTCTTTTATTGGCCACCAAAAGGAAAGCTGTGCCCGAACAGAGATTTGAACTTGTGTCTATGATTTTCAGGTTAGTTCTTTGACCACTGGACTACCAGAACACAAGAAAAAAAGGTACTCAGTTGGACCACAGATCAATTTAGCCCACTGCCTTATTTTGAAGCACATATAATTCTTCCCCCCTTATATTCTCCAGCCTCTAAATGTTTTCTGCTTAGGAACTTCATGGGCTCAGTATGATCTCTATGTATTTAGCAGTCCTTACTGGATTTCTCTTCCATAAGCTTGTCTAGTCTCCGTTTCAACCCCTGTAGACTTCTAGCTGAAATCACCAGCTTCTTTTAGACCTCATCAGCTTCTTTTAGACCTCATCAGCTTTCAAGAACTTGCTCTGTTCCACTGCTTACTGCATGAAAAAAAATTACCTATTTTTGTTTATTTTGAACCTGGGCTCCTGCTAGATTAATCTGTTGCTCCCCTATAGCTTGTCCTGGGAGAGACAGAAAACAATTAATTTCTACTCACCCTCTCCTTGCACTCACAATTATATAGACCTCTATCATCTAATTCCTCGTTTGTCTCTTGCAGACCAAGTAGAGCTGGATTACTTGGCCATTCTTTATGAAGAAGCCATTCCATGCCTTGCCATACTTCCCCTCTAATATCCTTTCCTAAAATATGACTTTTAGGAGTGCTGCTTTCAGTAATGCAGATGATTAAAGAATGTAATATCTTCTAATCGTGCTCTGGGATAGATTTATTTCAAAACCAAATTAAAAAAGTGCTTCCTTGCCTTCCAAAACCACATTTTAGATATAGCTGCATTGGGACAGTGCTAGAAGATTATGTATAAGGAGAAGAGTGTTATATCTGTGTAATGGATTACAATGACAACTCATCTGACCTCTGTTATTCAAGTTAAAGTAGAGTATTCAGGGAATGGAGTATTCAGTGGTTCATAAGCTTTATGTATATCTGACAGGATATTGCCCTAAAATATTTATTAGTAACAATTCTATGAATCAAACAACAAACTCTGTCCTCAAAATTTTACTCCGTTGCTCAGCTGCTGTGTGATGAAAGCATATAAGCACCACAGCAGATGAACAGATTTATGGATTTTTAGGACTGATGAATTTGAAGACTGGCAACTTTCAGTGAATTAACGTATTACTTTTGTCCTCTGTGCATTTTGTTGCTGTAGGTGGAATGTCTAGTTCCTTTTAAATTAACAGCAAGATCCCTGTTGCTCTCAATGAAACCAGCTTACCCAGCAAGGCCATCCTGAAACAAGGCTCGCTCTTTATCTGGATGACTAGCAGGTCAGTGCTAAAGCCGTAGTCTTCACTGAGGAACTCTCATTTACTTTCCCATTGTGTTCTGACCACTTGTGCCCTAAAGTTCTGATTTAAGAACTGAAATGCAAGAATAATTTGTGTTTCTCACTATATCAGTTGTGTTCTAATACAACTGGTTAAAAGATTCACACTTTTCAAACTTTGAGGAACCTTTGCTTTAGCAAAAAAGAAAAAAGAGACAAGAAATTCACCACCTTTTATCACTCTGCTTTTTAGTTAAGACTTATTAAAAAATACCTCAAATGTTTCCCTTTTCAAGAAAAAGAAAGGAAAGGTGAGAGGGGCAACAGAAACCCATTTCCAGATCAACTTATGAAAGAACAAACAAAAAAAGTGCACCTTTCTGAAGTGACACGGATTCTTTCATCATTGGAGGAATTGAATCTGTCATCCTTTTCTCTAAAATATTCTTCTATGCACTGCTCTTCAAAATCATGAACTTTTTTCAATTCGTCCTCAGTTATGAAAAGTTCTGTGGAAACAATGGAAAAACCTGAATTTGACAAAGATTAACACCTGAAATTAACTACATTCTTCTTTTTGTGTAATTCATGGACTAGGCTTTTAAAGGCAGGCTTCAATTTTTCTGACATTTTGAAAGCAGATAGATGCAGCTAATTACCAAATTAGTGCCTTCAATTATATATGATGCTGGAGACAGAAACACTTAAGCAGGCAAATGCTGAGCAAACATGAATGTATTTTGATTGCGTGAGATCTAAACACAGCTGCTGGTCAGGTCCTGGAGAGATGGTGGGAGCTAAAGCCTGCCTGTAACCTAATACAGATATAATCAAATTAGCAGAGTGCTAGGAAAGGAGTCTGAGAGTACAGAGGGTCTATATGACATGGCAGGAGCTGGTATCTGCAGGCAGCAGCAAGGGCTGTGGCAGACAGTGTGATGTGAGTGTGGGAGGAGAGCAGTCTGGTTGCACTTGCATCTCCAGTGCCACCACATGACTCCAGCTCCCTCCTTGGAGAGAACTGGGCTGTGGCATGGGCTAATGTTGGGAAGAGAGGCACATCCCTTAGCTCCCTTTCTCTGGCATATACACTGGGGGAGGTGGAGATCTTGTACTTTGAAGAAGTAGGTAGAGAAGAGGAGAGAAAGTGTTATCCAAATAATCTGACAGGTTTTCCATCATGCTTATGGGAGTTCATATTAAAGTGTCTGGAGAAACTACTCCTCCAGTTTGAGTCAGTGTCAAGGAGAAAACATGTGTCTACAAAATAATTACTTCTCACCATCTCTCAGCTTCTCTAGGCAAAAAGTGTGCTGAGGGGAAGTATGAGCTGTTTGGTCAAACAGTAGGAATGCTCTCTCTGTATTTTCAGAAATAAAACTAAGATCTGGAAGTGCAATGGACTGTAAGAAGAATTCCAGCAATAACAGACCTCTAGCAACAGCAAAACAAACCCCTTTGCTTTGAGGGAACAAAGAGGGGAACAACGCCCCAAAATCCCAGAAAAACATAGCCTCATTAACACTCTGAGGAGAACAAAGGGTTGAGCAATGCAGGTAAAACTAACTGATTCAGGTAAGATTTTTGCAGTTAAAAGTAGTTCTCTGCTGGAAAGTTTATCAAGGTGCTGATCTTAGGCTTCATTCATGTCAAACACTAGATATTACCAAGGGCATTGGAAAGTCTCACTCTGTAATTTGTCTGAGGCTTACTTAATCCATAGTCTCTCTCATCTGGGTCGCTTTCATGCTTCCGCCATCTGCAGCAGAGGTGTTGGAATATCATAGTCATATGGCTGAAAATGATCAGAGGCGGTGGGAGAACAGGTCTTTCATGAAATGTCATGATTAGCTGATATCTTTGAAACTTCCACACTTGGTTGGATATGGATTTGACTTCAAAAAATGTATTGCTAGAAGGCAAGAAGAGGAAAATAACATCAGATTGAAAAGGTTTTGGGCACTTTGCTGATATGACACCACCTTGACTAGAGACATTTCACTAACAGTGGCAAAGGTTTCCTTGTCGCAAAAAGAGGAAGAAGAACAAAATAAATGAATAAGTTTGTGCTTCAGCAAAGCATAGCAGCAATCAGCCATTTCAGAGTATCTTACTACTGTGTGTATCTGCTCTGGACAACCACTGAGTCTTAGAAAAACCCAATGAGACAGGAAAGTATTTTTATTCTTGTTTTTCATATTGGGAGTAAATGATGCCACAGCTGAACTTTAAATTTTTTGGCTTATCTGCCCTGACTCCGATCAGGTGTCTGTCCCTGGAAATGAGCCAATGTGAAGAATTTGGCATTTCCCTCATTCCCTGGAGAAAAGCTACTGCCTCTTTACCTCTCACCATCACATCCTCTGAAAATGGGTCTCAGCCAAAGTCTTCAGCTTAACATGCTGTGAATAATGTCCATCCCCCCAAATTCCATACTTGGCAATGTGGCACTCACTTGAAAACAGCAATGAGGAGGTTCACCAGAAGGATGTTTGCAACCAAGAGGTAACAGGCCATGATGGCAGGAACGATCCATGCTCCTGTCTTGCAGGGAGGTAGCTGGATTATTTTGCCATCTTCTCTGGTTTCATTTTGACCACAAGGAGCTGGGAACAAAAATGCAAAAAAATGCAAAATGGGAATGAATCTTATTTTTTCACTGCTTTTTACAGAAATATTTAAATGTTTATAAAGGTCTGCCCTCCAAAGCAATACCTTCCAAATAACAGTGGCATTGATGCTCCCCCCAAGAAGTTTGCACTTGCTATCACAGATTTTACAAGTTGCAGTTCTTGTTATTGTGTGTTATTTGCCATGAATATCGAGATATTCCCCTCAGAAATTGCAGCAGACATGCCTGGTGTGAGTAAGCTGCCTGACTGCATACAGCTGTAATATCATGGTACTCTGGTAGTAATTAGTGGCTGTGCAAATAAAAAGACCAAAATGTTTAATCCTGGAAAAAAGCTTATGTATTTTTTTTTTAATGGTGAAAGCTTGGTCTTTTTTGATTGATGGAAAGCGATGTAATAAATAGTACAAGGAGGAAGAAGTACATGAAAGTAAATTAAAAAGCAGACATTTATTGCTGTGCACTGCACTGCCCCCAGCCCCTCTGGGACACACTCATAATGACCCTCTGCTATTAAGGACTTCTGACTGCATGCCTAGAAACAGTGGGGGAGATTACCAAGCCTTTACCCTACCAGGTAAAGGGACATGTAGGCAGCAGAGCTGCCACCTGCTTCTTCCCTGAATACTTGGAACCAAAACATTCTCAGCATTAATGTTGTAGAATTGAAGCAAGGGGAGAAAAAACATTGTGGAATGGTCTTCCTTGCTTATTTTTTTACATGCCTTCATGTGCTGCAGTGGGTGAACTGCAGCTGGAAACATGGGTTCAGTTTTTGTCTTTCTAGCCTCAATCCTAGTGGCTCTAAGCACCGCTGTAATCAGCTCTTCAAGAAAATAATTGAAGCAGCAGCTTACATATACAAACCATCTTAGTAAAATTTGCACAGCACTGCAGCTATCTTCACCTTGTCCCCATCAAAAAGAAG